GCTACTGAGCTGAAAAGTTGTAAACAGATATAAATTTACCCCCTCTTATGCCTGATGAGGATAAAAACTTCTGTGGCTCTTCAGTTTTAGATTTTGAAAATGATTACGTCACGTGCAAGCCAAGGATTCTTACATAACACATTATCTCCTGTCATATTTCTTTTCGGATCAGTTCCCTAAAAGGCGTCCCGAAAGCTCCCGCTGTGGACCTTTTGAGGCTAAACACCCTAAAGGCTACTTAAGAGTCAATGGCAGTAATTTACAACTGGGGCCGTGCAATAGCGAAAAGACGAAAAACCTGAAAAAATTTCTCAAGACAGCCCTTGGTGAACTACTTCTAAAAATATATATTTTACCTCGATCCGGTAAATATTTTGGACGTACGGAGATAAACTACTTGGTTTCGCAGCTCTCAGACCAGATTATAGGCGTCGGATACCGAACACCGCTGAGACCTCCTTTGAAAATCAAAACGCCTTTTCCACGAAACAGCAAGTAACTAATCAAATAAAGCAGACGATAATACACATTTTGAGTGGTTATTTTCTCAGTTTAAATTAAAATTGAATTTTGGACAAATTTTCCAGTATTTACAATAATTTAAGCGATTTTTAGCTCCACAAAATTCACAAAATTAAGGGCCTAAAATCATTGACTGGTACCTCGCCTTGTGTATCGAGACTTATTCCACGTGAAAGAGCACTATTTCTTCTTGCAAAATCCATTTTCAAAACCATGCGCTACTTAAAATAAAATTTTTGAGGTCGAAAAATACACGCAGTACTTTCGTGAAATCTGAGCTGTTTGATAATGGCGTACCAATGTCGAAAGGTCACACAAACATAACGATAATATATTTTCGAAACTCAGTGCTTTGATAATATTTGCTGTCACTCACAAACTAATGTTTCCAAGACTATTCTACGTGATTTGCTATCTCTTTTGAGGAAAAATTAAAGAATTTGGCCGTTTATTTTGATCTCGAGTTCCTAAGTGTACACGGGTCACGTAACGTTTGTCAAGGGTTGAAGGTGAGGCACTCGTTATCAAATCAAATTAAAACATTTTCCAGACAGAAATTGCTCACTAACACACACAGTAATAACTTGAAA